GCAGATATAACACCGTCCTTGCCCACGGCGTTGAGTATGTACACTGTCCATTAGTGTATAAAGCTGCGATGCACTTTGCACATTTACATAGAGTGCATGCTTGTTACAAAGCGTGATCACACTTCCGGAATAGATAAATACAAAGTGAGGTGTATCCCATGCATCAGACAATACAAGACTGATGTCCATTATATCATTTTTTTACACATCTTAGTACTCTGATTCTGGTATATCAGAGAAGAGAATACTGGGCACCATTGATTGCAACTTCAGCTCTGTTAGGAATCGTTGGAAATAATACGAACTGACCATTACAGTCACGCGAATAAGAAGTTTAAGCATTGAGACATTTTGTACTAATTATTTCAATACTGCCAAACCAAAATGAATACACTGTGAAGCACCAGTAGGTTTGCAAGCTGAATCAACATTTTTCCGAACTGCTGATATCCTCAGTAAAATTGTATATATAGGTACATACATATATATGTGCATAGATAGATATAAAGACAGATGGGTAAGTAAATAGATAGATAGATAAAGAGATAGGGAGATAGATAGATGGATAAAGAGATAGGGAGATAGATAGATATAGAGATAGGTAAATAGATAGATGGATGGATGGATAAATAGATGTTGATATAGATAGATAGATAGATGTTGATATAGATATAAGTACAGATAGGTAGATTTATATGCACATATATATACGGATGTATGTATTTACATTTCATTAATTTGCAATTTCCCTCCCGTTTCCTTCTTGGATATGTAGCCAAAGTAATGTCATCTTTTTATAAAGTAGTAAAAGAAAACGCGTCCAGAACCAATGTGCTGTTAATTTGGATAAAATATCTATATCTATATGATATATAGACATGTTGGGTCAATTCTTCTGCAAGCAAGACAAACAAGTAAAATCCTACTTCTAATATTCCTTTTATGAGTGATATTTTTCAGTTTCATCCAAGCAAAAATGATGGTTGAAGAAATGCTTATTCTCTCTCTCTCTCTCTCTCTCTCTCTCTCTCTCTCTCTCTCTCTCTCTCTCTCTCTCTCTCTCTCTCTCTCTCTCTCTCTCTCCCTCTTTCTCTCTCTAAGAAAAAACAAAGACAATATAAAATCTAATATTCTTTTTTTTAAGTCAAAAAAGATGTTAGTAAATTCTCTACAACCCCTGATGAACTTTCCCATTAAACAGAATTACGTATATAGTTTAAAATATTTTCATCTGAATCAAACAAAGAATTTGGTTCTTGGACGAAATCGACAAACAATAACGATTTTTTTTTTCAGCTAATGATTGTAGACCTATGTGCGAATTATTATAGGCCTATGTTGGTGTGAAATTAAAGTTTTTAAATAGAATGAAACCTTCTAATAACTTTCAAAGTCCTTATAAGTCCACTTTTTTCCTCAGTGGATTTGTATAATGTTTTTCTAAGTATATTCTTCACTGGACTCATGTCTTCGTTGCTCAGGTTACGATAACAATGATAAAGATAACAATGATAATAACAATAAGGACAATGGTGATAATAATAAAAATAATATTAACGATAACGATAGTAATGATAATAATAATAAAAATAATAACATTAATAATAATAATAACAGTGACAATAATAATAATGAAAACAATGGCAATAATGATAATGAAAACAATGACCCTATTAATAATAACAATACTAACGGTAATAACAATGATAATAAAGATAATGAAAACAATGACACTAATAATAATAACAATAAAGAGAACAAATGATGAACATATCAAACAAGATCCGGTTTCGGCTGGTTGTTATTGGCTTGGCCGTTGGTGTCCGGATCGCTGAATTCGTGCGAAAGGGACCTGACTTCGACTTCCAATTCGTGTCCGGGAGGCAGCAGGACGTTTCCGTTCGACTGGTCTTGCTTGGCTTTCTCGGCCTCACTTCTGCCGTAAGAAATGTTTATTGAGATTTGTAATAAAGAAAAGTGTTTTTAGATAGTTCTCTTAAAGTTTGAGCTACCTGAAGTAGTTATTTTAATTGTGTTATGTGATTTGTAATTATTATTTTTTATGGCCATTGCCAATTATGTCTTCAGTAATGGAACACTTATTACTAATTATCTTCACTATTCTTATCCTTCTTCTTCATCCTTCTCCTATTATTTATCAAAATGGTTATTAGTCAGTTAATGAGGTCTACAGTTGAGTATTCCTCCAGTATTCCTTCCGTGCGCACCGTCAACAGGAAACAAAAGACGATCGCCTACCTGATGGAGCGGGCGGAGAGTAGTTGCGTCTCTACATAGATGGCGCGCTTCACCTCTCGTTCCACTTGCTCTATGTCTGCATCGCCATCAATCTAAAAGGAAGTGAAAATATTCAAATACCCTATATGTATATCATGTCTGTCCATCTACCTACATATCTAACTATCTTTATAATCGTATCTGTACGTTCGCTATAGTACATACAGTCGATGTAAGCGTGTGTATAAGCAAACACAAACAC